TTTTAAACATTCTTTAAAAGATGGTACGTAAAACCATCCCTGTCGTCGATCTTTTTGATGAAGGTGTACCAATATGAAAACAAAATGAGTTTAGGTTTTAATAAAAACTTTACCATTTGTGATTTTTTACTATTTTTTCCCATTTTTTAAATTGAAATCAAATGGGATAGCTTACTTCTTAATCAATATATAAGGACTAATCATTTAATTAAAAATGAGAAAAGATATATGAACCAAAAAATAAAGATCATTCCTCAACAATTGCAACCATATTCTTTAAGCAATTCCCGAAAAAAAAAACAATCCATTTGTATGAGATTTTCCCGTTTTCCTCCTTCTACACAGGTGTTGACAGTACCATCTGTTGGCTAGTGGTTCCTCATTTTCGCTGGAGACATCTTAGCAATTCAATAAGATGCATTCACCTCTTTAGTTTGAATAGTTATCTCGATTATTGACGCACTCTTACAAACGTATAAACAATTTAATTTATTAATGTCTTCATTGTTTTCCTCTAACATACACATAGGTATATTCTTTATTTGATCTCTCTTGCTTCTTTGTTAATAAGTTGAGATGGGAAAAAGTAGTCCAAATTTTTATTCTTTCTCTTAAGCTGATAAAATGACTCTGCATTAACTCTTGTTCAAATATTTCCCTAAATCTGTTTGACCTGATAGAAGATAATCCTTTTGAAGCTACACAATTTCTGTTGCCAATTATGTTTTATTTCCTCGGGGAATTCCATTAGACAGACTGATAAATAAATAACATTCGGGTAAAATAAATGATAAAATTATAATTTGGAAGCAATATTTTTCTATATTTGCAATTAGAAATTCACTAGGAAATAGTTATATATTTCTTAAATGTATTTCTTATAAATACATTTAAGAAAATTATAACTATTTCCTAGTATAATGTATTTCTTATACGAATCATGTTTTAAGCCAAAATCAATAAAGCCAAGTTGATTGATCTTGCTGCAAAAAGTGAAGATCAAAATATTATTAAAATTAATTTTTATAGCTTTTTTTAAAAAGTAACAGTAAGCAAATTTGAATTATTTTTTAAACAATTAGTAGATTTTAATATTTCTTTTTTCATAACAATAAGTACATTTGAATTATATTTTTTTAATTATTAACTAAATATGAATTGTTTAATTTTTGAAAGAATAAGTAAGCATAAATTATTGTTTTTTGAAAAAATTGAAATTGCTTTGAATTACTGCTTAAGGAATAAATAGAATTGAATTACATTGTTTTTAAGTACATAGATTTGAATTATTGGTTTCTTTAGATTCGAACTATTGTATTTTTTAAATAATACAAAGATTAGAGACATTGTACTTGCTAAACAATAATAAAGATTTGAATTTTTTTTTAAGAATGGATTCATATTCTTCTTTTTTAAAACAATAATGAAATCTTAATTCCTACTTCCTTTTTAAAAAAAATAAACAGACTTAAATTATTTTTTTAAACAGTACTCCGATTCAAATTTTTGTTTCCTAAAAGAATAGATAAATTCAAATTATTTTTGGATTATAATAAGTATATTCCAATTATTCTTTTTATTTAAAAAAAGCGATAAGTCTACTTGAATCATTTAAATTAAAAAAAGTCATGAATGACTAAAAACCAACAATGTCTAAACAGTGTTATCGTGGCATAAGCATGCATCTTTTATGAATAATTAACTTATATCCTTTGTGTAAACCTTGAAAGAAAACTGATCTATCTTTTCCCAATATTTTTTATATTTCAATCCAATGAAGGAACAGTTTTTTCCCATTTTTAAATGTCTATATTTGTGATACAAGTATATGTAAGCATTCAAAAATTTATGTTAAAAATAAAATTTATAAACTTAAAGCATAAATTAAAAATTCCAAATTTAATTATTTTCGATAAACTTTTTATTTAAAGCAAGCTTCTTAAATTATTGAATATACTATTCTCCTTCATCCATGAATAACATTTGTTTAAAATTTATGTCTATGTCTTTTCGAATTTAAGTTTCCATTTATTATGAAATACGTATATTGTACAACACAAAAGCGAAAGAATGCAAAATATTTAGAAAAGCAATCAAGTCAAAAATCTATTACATAAGAACTGTAGAACAACAAAGAATAAAGAAATCTCTAAGAACAAACAAAGCAAATAAATTATAGTAGTTCCAATGTCTGCTTTCAATTAAAGTATATTTTAAATTCACTTGAACTTCTACAAACTTTTCAAAAGTATTGTTGATTTTTAACTTTTGGAAATGCAAGCAATTACAATTGAATGTATGTTTTTTTTTTTTTTTTTTTTTTTTTAAAATGATCATAATAACAAATGTTTTTTTTAAAAATATTAATGCGCATATCATTTTTTTTCTATCCCCTTTCAAAAAAAAATATTAATTTGAATGTAATATATATAGTTTTGATCGTTATTCAGTCTTTTTTACTTCAATTTAAGGGCACATTACTTCAATTTATCTCCTAACATTTTTTCTTTTTTTTAACATACTGATAGTCTCCGTTTACCGACCCCCGTAATGCCTTCCTATTAATCATTGTTCATTGTTTAAAGCAATAAGTTTTACACAAACAAACAACATTTTGTTAACAGCACATATAATTATTGTAGTTTATGTCCGAATATACTGTCAATATACTAATCGTAATGAAATGAAAAATTACCTGAATTTGAAAAATAACCATCTGCACTTGAAAAAAACATTTACCTGATGAATATAGCATGTAAGACTCAATAAAAATAAATAAATAAGAGAAGAATTAAAATCTGTATCGAAAAAAGGAATTTTAAAATTAATGAAATCATATCACACTTACACCGTGACCAAAACGTATCCCTACAACTTTCGGAGCTCGATAAATATCTATATTAGTGTTAATGTAGTCCCAATTCCTTGCACAAAATGCAGTCTTAGTTAAGCTATTGTAAGCTTATATGTTGTAATACATATAAGTTTTTCAGAGTTTGCTAAGATAAAGAAGCAAAAGGTGGAAACAATTCTTTCATAGGAGGATGAATTTGTCTTTCCGGACGACAAACTATTTAATTTACAGCTGAAACTCAACCCCTAAAATGATGGAATTTTGTCAATTTCTATGGATAGCTTCCCCGGGAGGCAACATTATGTTCCGCGTTATCAAAATGCTGTGTCAAAATCGCCTGCGTTGCTTTGGTAGGCTATTTCAAAAAGAGGCAAACTTCCGTTAGTTTTCCTTGAAAAAAGAATAAAAATCAATTTCCAATATTATAAAATTGAGGTTTTGGAAAAAGATTTACTCCCAAGAGTCCAAAGTATGTATGGCGGGGGAATATTTCTGCTTCCAACAAGATGGTGCTCCTTCTCTCCCCGCACGTGTGGTTCAGGAGCGCTGCAGCAAACATTTACCTGACTTTTTATCGAAGAATGAACGGCCTCCCAACTCCCCAGATCTTCAAAATTCATTAAAACTCGCTTGATTATTTTCTTTGGTCATATATGCTCTCCCAATTTAATAACTATAAAATCGCCAAGCTGAGCAAATTCAAGTGATATTGTGGAAAAAGCCGATGGAAGCCGTACGTACCGCATGTGGTGGATTGGAAATGAGACTTAAGCTCCTTCAGAAAGTAAAAAGCTGTATTATTTCAAAGCATTTATTGCAAAGATACTTAATGATTGTAACTTTAATGCAAAGATTCCTTGCATGGCTTGTGTTATATTATTGTAATAAAAATCTGAAAGTGAATAAGAACTTATTGATCACCATGTTTTCTAACTATATTTTTTCGAACATTTATTAGTGAGAGATTACGTTTTAAGTTAAGGAAATTAGTAACCAAAATATTCTGCGCCATTTTGTATAAATTGCAAAAGTTTACACTACGTTTTCGTGAGAAGTTTAATTTTTATTAAGACCCTATGTTTCCTTTTTCTTAAATTTTCAAGTTAGTTTATGTTGAAGACAAAAATGACCCCAACAATGTGTGAATTTTAAAATACTTTATATTTTATAAGTTAATTTGCGATTTCAAATTAACTAATTCTAAAAATTTAAAAATATTATAAAACATATAATTTTAATAATATTTAAAAATATTATAAAAATATTATAAACATATATATGCATGCAATGACTCAACCTTATTCAGTGTATAATTTTAATAATGTGGATAAATATCTGAAAAATTTAATTATTTTTTTTCCATCACATAAACAACATTTTCCATGAAATACTCAAATTGTATTACTGAATATAATTATAACATATTTTATCTAACTGTTTAGAAAAATATTGCTTAACAAGTTTTGCTTGAATTAAGCAATAATTTAATTGTAATTCATTTCAAATATCTGTATTAGCATGCAAATACTAATTAATAATTATAAAACAAACGCATTAAAATTTAAAAATCTACTATTAGAAAATGAAATGTTGAACATTATCTTTAAAACATTAAAACATCAATAGAAATCATTCAATAAAATATTGTTTTTTATTTGTGACAACGTTTATATTCTTCTCAAAGGGGTGCGACTGCAAAATTTTCCACCGTCTATCCATTTAGATTAATATTTGTCTTTCCTCTTGAGTAAATATGAATTTTAAGTTCAATAAAAAAAGTAATATTCGAAATACCGCCAAAAAATATTTTAGTTTTCCAAAGAATTCGACACCGTACTTTAATCAGCTTCGAAATTGGTATTTTCTTCGAATAATTTTTGAATTTGAAATGAAATGAAATCCTCTGATGAATTAATATTTTTCAAACTGAAGTAATAGTTTTTTTGAAACAATCGGTTACTTTCCGAATAAAAAAAAACTCATATGAATAAGGACATATGCAGCGTTTCGTATTGTATTTTGGTTTAACGGAAAAAGTTAAATTAGTTTTTCTGAAAACTGTCGGTGAACGAAATATGAAACATTTCTGTAGTTTTTTAAAATTAACTTCTTAAAATGGGAATTGCATATATTGTTTATTTTCCAGATTATCTAACCAAATAATAATTGGAAAAAAGAACATCAGACAGATACACAATATCAGGTAAGTATTTTTATATTTCACCTTTTTTAAGAATTTATTTTATGAATGCTTCTATAAAATCTGTGGACATTATTAAATAATTTTTAATAATCATTTTTTGCTATCGTTGAAAAATTTAAGTTAAACGTAGCATTTTCATTTCAAAACTAATTTAATTTTCGGTAACGTTTTTTTTGTCGTTTATTCTAAGATTTTATGAAGGAAATGTATACAAACATTTATTCGAAAATGAATTACGTTCAGAAGAGACAAAATACGACAAAGCCAGGGAATATTTTTTCAAGTGAATATATTTACTTGTGCTTTTTTGTTATGTTGTATTGTTGTGTTGTGGGCTCTTACTTCACTTATATATCAAAGAAGCAATTGAATTTTCACAGAGAATACCAAATAAACACCCGCAATAACCCATATAAAACCAATCGTGTAGCTAAAATAAGACAAGCTCTATCGACGTCTTAGCAATACTAGCAATAGAGGAATACTGAGTAAAAAACTAACCATTGTCAATATAGCTATCAAAATCAGCAGAACAGCTAGCAGTCAGTATAGTTATTAAAATTAGCAATTTTAGCAGAACACAAAAACACCACACAGATAATTTTAGATAAATTTAATTCATTATTGAAATTGAGCTAAATAACTACAAAACCCTCTGGTGAGCATCAAGAAAAAACCCCATAGTCACAGATAAAAGATTGGTTAAGATTTTCTGTGAGTAAACAATTTCGACAAAAAATTTAATACATAACTACTGCAGAGTATAATGTTACCAACAATATGGTAAAACTTAATGAATTTCTGGCTCTATGTAAAAACGGTAGCTTTTACCGAAGTTTCGGTAGTGTTTACCGAAGAGCTTTGGTAATGAATCTTGACAAATTAATAAAATATTGTTTTTTAATGTGTGATAAACTTTGGAAAATGTGATAAAATTTGCTAATTTTGTTATTCTATCTTAGAGCATTGCATATAAACCATTTATTCTGTAAAATTTACTTTTCAGTTTCGTGTTTTTTACAAATATCAATAAGAAAAATAATTATGAAAGCCAGCATCTTCAGTAAATCTTTTCTATATGAGTGGAAAAATTACCAAATGGATGGAGTTACCAAAAATTACCAAAAGTTTGGGTTTATTTACCAGAATTATGGTTTTATTACCTGAAATGTCATTATCACACAGTAGGGTAATTTTACCAGAATTATTTTCTCTGTGTAGTAATTTTTCAGTATAATTTTAATCTAAATTTAGAAAATCTTTATTATTATTTCCATTTCTTTTTTTTAAATTTAATTTAAAATTTTTGAGAATTTTTTTTTTTTATATTTTTAGAATTGAAAATATTAAACTTGAGTTAATAATGGAAATTATTTCTATTGTATTTTAAATCATCCAAAATTCAATCATTTTTATTAGCACTTTCTTTTTTTAATCCGAATTAATTTCGAATAAAATATAGCTTAAAATTGAAAACAAAATGTTTGATTTATTTCTTTTAGTCAAATTAATGAAGTCCAACCATTCCTATCAAAGACTGATATAAATGATTAAGTTTGAAAATCTTATGTGTTTAGCTAGCTAACTCTAAACAGAAAATTTGACCTGCGAATTTCAATCTGTTTTAACTTTATAAATTCTATAGAAATTGCTCAGTTTGATTCAGTTGAAAAATGGTTCGAAAGATATTTCTTTCACAAATATTAGACTCTTCTTCCTATATGTATGCAAAAGGTCATGTTTCGGTATCATAGATCAGGATTAGGCGTATAAAAATCTTGTACAGTATTGTGTGTATAAATTATATAATTCAGCTAGAGAGCCAAAAGACAATTTTAATAATAATGACTGGCATGATAAACGCCAGAGACTTTTTTATAAATCTATTGAAAAGTTTATAATGAAAGGATAATCTTAAGAAGTTGGGACTCATGTTTAATGAACTAACAGAACTAGCAACAATAGGAATTCTCGCTTAAATCGAGGTGATTCCGAATCACGTAAAATAAGCGTAAAATAATCACAATTGTAGCCGGATCATCAAGGTCGGAATAGACGAGAAAGATTTTGTTGTTTTGCTCTCCATTTTTCACTCAAAGATTCTGATACAAAACAAGCTTATTGATCTCTTTTTGTCCAGGTTCATAATTTCTTAAGCTGCAGAGTTTACATACTAACCGTTAATCCTGTAATTATCAATTTGCCGGATACCAGCTCAACACTAGTTATAAAACCAAACAACGAAGAGGAGGTAGATTTTGTAAATAAACCTTTCGGGAAAACAACGTTTAAAAATTACAAATAGCAACATTTAATTGAAGCCTATATGCGTTTCGGGGTAAAATGCGTATATTTACATCAGATGATCAGGTAGACCTCAGATACGAACTAACTAAGTTAGTAACTTAGGTGGCTAACTTAGGTACATCCACACATTTACTTAAAATAGTATGGATGGCACGACAGAGATGTTTTCATACGACCGAAATCACCATATTAGTTGTGATAAACATATAGTTAAAGAGTAACAATATTTAATTGACAGTGAAAGTTAAAATATTAACGAAAATTGGCGAATTTGCTGCTGTGTCATGTCTGAAAATCATTTTTTTTTAAATTTTTCATGATCATTTTGTGGCATATTTTCCAAATATTTCAAAATCATTACTTTTTTTATTTATTTAAATTTTCATTGTTATTTTTTTCAATTTTCATTTTACTCTAGTACCATTGTTTTGAAATGCTTGGAAATCTTCGGTTTTTATATTTTGAAACTTTTACTGCCAATTTACTGTTGTTACTTTTTAACTATATATGCAACACCACTGAATGCCTGACATAACCTTTCCTGCCATTCCTGGCACTTTGTTCTTCTGACGACGGTGCACTTAACACTAAAATGCGTTTAGGCTCTTAAAAAATTTATTATTTGTGACTGTTAGACTTTTATTTTAATCAATCTTAATTTTATTACAATAGAATACTTATAATATTCCATGATTGCGAAATGATTCTTATTTTGCTTTACCCCAAAACTCTCAGAATAGAATAAAAGGCGATTGTTTTCACAAAAATGCGTTTCCTTATCTAAATTATTATTCAGTTCATCATAAAAAATTTAAAGAATATTCGAGAAGATTGGTTATAGAAATCGTTTTATTAGTTTTCTAGCTTGTTAAGAAATGCGTTTGTTCCGCTATAGTGTATTGAATATTTATTCTTTTGTAGTATCTGCGAAACTATTTATTAAATCAAATCATCTGGAATCACGTTAAAAGTGTATGAGTTGGATAAGGAAACATACCTAATTACTTTTCTTTGAATGCCATATATTCAAATTTTACTTTTCTGGAAAACAAACCTTTTTTTTACTTGGGTAAAAGGAAAAGAAAATGTTGACTTTAATCTAATTGAAAAAAAAAGTTGCATTTTAAACTATTGCACTCTTATCATCGGAATAATGTTATTTTTTGCATTTATTTGTTGGAATTATTTTTCTGGAGATAAGAGTTTTGTGATGACATTTTAATGTACAGCACGGAAAAGATAAGAAAAAAGATTATGTTTATTACGACGTGAATTTTTAAAATTTTGTACATCATTTCGAATAAAGATGTACCTGCTCGCAGCTAATAATAACTTCAATTAAACGAATACCTTCCGGGTATTTAAAAAAAGTACATTTCCCTTTCTTGTATTCATTGTAACATTTCATTTAAGAATATTTTATATGCAATAACTGTGTCAGATATTTTAAGCCTAATGCAAGATATTTGGTATAGTAATTCGAATCTTTTCGTAAAAGGAATGAATGAAGTGTAAAATTTTATTTCATATTTTTTACACTGGTTTGGCAAATTCTTACAATGATGTTGAGTCATTATTACAAGCATATCAATTATTTCTCATCTATGCTTTTTTAATTAGATATGTGTTCCATAAAATTTGCTTTCTTAGAGATGTACTAAACGGTAGAAATTTAGTGATGTAATTCTGCACCGTGAGACTGTGTACATTTTAAAGATAATTATTCTAAATATCAGTTTAAAAAAATAAAATTGGTTTCCTAATTTAATTTATATTAATCGCTGGAATAAAAAAAGTGCTTTGATGCGTGAAACCTTTATAACTCTTATAATTTCTTAATTATCAGTTCCAGCGATTTAGTTTTGAATTCATTTAAATTAGCGTGAAGTACACGTGATCTTATAGATAGTATTGTCCAGGCGAGTATATAATTACAAAACTGCACTTTTTTGAATTAAAATTTTAATAACCATCGAACTATATCTATCTTGTTCATAAGAATTTATTAGCTTGTCCAGATAGAAATTTCAAACGCGTCGTTAGATTTAATTAAAAATGCTTCATCAATGCTTCATCCCTTTATAACTTCTAAATTATTAGTCCCATCTTGAGTTTGGTTCATTCATTTTAACGTAAAAATGCTATTAATAAGAATATCTAACTTACTAGTCTAAATAGTAAAGTTCCCCCTTTTTGAACCTTGGCGTAAGCTCACCTGGGGGAAAGGGAAGACTTCAGATATTCATATTGGGCATAAGCAACACTTTTTAAAACAAATCAAGCTTTACTTCAATTATTTTCGTATTGAGCTTTTTCTATGACACTGGATTATGGACTATGGTCAACTAGAAAAGATTTATTTGTCTTCTTTAACGTTTCGAGCAGGCCAATACTTATTCTTGAATTCTTATTTTGCAAACATTTTATGGTTTATAGGAATTAACCACTATTTTGTAGAATTATTTGAACAAGAACTCATTTCAAAAAAAATAATATTCCGATTTGTCTTGGCTGGAAAAAAAATCAGAAGTGTTATTTTTATCAGATACGTTTGCTGTTCAGATTATTATGCAAAATAAATGTTAGTAGTTACCAAAATTTGAAAACATTTCATGGTTTATGGCAATGAACCATTATTTTGTATAAAAATCTAAGCATCTTACCTGTTTCATAATAATAATGTTTCCATTTGT